GCCTCGCCTGCCCGCCTGGCCCGGATGCTGATGTCTGAGTTGGGAACTACTTTTCCTCCTTGCTCTCCACTGCCACTCCTCGCGGCAACCGCCTCTCTGTTGTCCCTTGCCTGCTGGGGGCTGGGGCTTTGCCGTGCTGGTCAGGAGCCTTGGGGGAGCATGAGGTGCTTCTGCACTTGAGCGTGAGGGTGGTGAGGCAGGCCTTTGTGCCAACCTGTGTTGGGCCTCCGGGTGGATGAGGCACTGACTCTAAAGCAGTAGCGTGTTGCAGCAGGTGTCAGGGTGTCTGTCCTTATGAAGGCTGAACACTGTTCCATGGGATGGATGGACCGCATTGTGTTTACGCATTCCTCCAGGGGTGGACTCTTGGCTTGCTTCCACCTTTTGGCCCGGGACTACTTTTTAACAGTCTTTTCTTGGCTTGGGGTCCCCAGGAGCACACAAGGAGTGGACCTTGGTGAGCAAGCCCAAGCCCATATTTCGGAAGCATTGATTTTCTACCTAGAGACTGGGGCGAGATGGCCAGTCTTCATGAACCAGGGCTTGGGATTTTCAGGCCACTGTTTCCTACCTGTGGCAGCAGCTTACACAGAGGGCCCTGGCTTTCTTTGGGGGCCATGGAGGGGTTGGACTCAGGTCTAGTTTTTGCCCTGGCTTGGCCCAAGGTCTTGACCCTACTGGTATTGGTTTCCCAGGCAGCAACCCCTGGGCCCAGGGGGCCACAGCATCTAACCAAGATCTCCTTGTTTTGCTTTTTATTTCCCATGTCATCAGGGCTCCTCGAGAGCACCCTCAGGCTCGATGCTTCACTAGGAGGGCTCGCAGAACTCAGAAGAGCCGTACAACGGCTCCCGGTTACGGTTGTTATGGTCAATTACAGTGGAAGCACCCAGGTCAGAATCAGCAAGGACGCGAGGAGCGTAGGGCCAGGTCCAGGGGAGACCAGGCGTGAGCTTCCAGGTCCCTGGCCAGCGGAGGCGTGCGGCAGTGCCGTTTCTCCCGCAGCCTTGTGTGACAACCCGCACCGGGCACGGCCACCAGGGAAGCCTCCCTGAGCGGCGCTGTCCGGGGACTTCAGTGCGGGGTCGGTCCCGTCGGCCTGGAGCTCCCGCGGGGCTGAGCTCGGAAACTCAGTCTCTGCACCTGCAGCGTCCCCCCCGCCCCCCGCCCCACCCCGGGACGTGAAGCTGAGAGGTGTGGCCCAGCTCAGCCCCAGGGAGACTGAGACCCACTCATCAGGCAGGACATGCAGGGGGCCAGAGGTCCTTTCCCAGGGGCTAGGCAAGGGCCAGAACTTCCTTGGAAACATGCGGGGTTAGACCTGAGCTACACACCCCTCTTGGTTTGGGCCCCTGGGGGTTCACTTGACAATTTTATAAGCTCTCCAGCACGGTCAGGAGGATGTCTGACCCAGGTTATAGAACAGGTCCAGGTGTTCTCCAGGGGCCAGGCCCGGGTGGAGTGGGGTTCAGTGGTTTAGCCTGTTTACTTCTGGGAATGAACTCCTGGCCCAACTCTGTCACCAGCTCCCTGTCCTGTCTGGGTCAGATGATCACTGAGGCCTCTTCCATCTGGAATGTTCTCTGCTTTGTGGTTAGCCTCGGCAGGCTGGAAGTGAATTGGCTTTGCAGAGAGCCACCATCATCTCTGATAGCCAAGTCCCTGTGCAATGTGATTCCGTGCTTAGTGGTGGGTGCCTTGTTTAACCCAGAGGGAGTCTAATCAGAACCTGTTTTCCTTCTCCTTTCTAGGTGTTTAGTGACGACCTTACCAAGCCAATCATTGATAACATTGTGTCTGATCTCATTCAGATTTATACCATGGACACAGAGATCCCCTAAGGCCCTGGTCCAGGCCTGCCCAAAGAGAAGCCCGGGATGCTCGGCTGCCTGGGGACGGCATCACCACATCGCTGTGACGGCTGGTCCCCAGAAGACCAGCTGGGAGGACTGGTTTTGTGCTGCTGGAGACGGGCTGGTGAAGGCGATGACCTGCTGCCACTTTGATTCTCATGCTTTGACTGTCCCTGGCAGCTGTGGTCCAGACGGTGATGGGAGCTGTGCCTCCTGCGGGCAGGCCGGGGTGCACCAGGGGAAGGGCCCCCAAGGCATCCGTGTCTGCTTTTGTCCTTTGAGAGGGCACCGACTGCAGTTGAGGTGTGACATCAGTGGAAGCAAAATCAAAGAACAGATGAGACTGCACCCTTGGGGATGTTTTTAAAGCCAGATTTATAGAAAGTATGAATGTGTAACATAGATGGAATTTTATTTTGTATAATAAAAGATGATACAAATCAACAGAGATGCCCTGTCTTTGCTCTCTGGCCTGGGCTGCTCTGGGTGCCATTCAACCTCGGTTTCCCCTGAAACGCTCTCTCTAGGTGGAATTGCCCCTTGTGCCTCCATTGCTTTCTGAGGGCATGGTGGCCCAGCATGTGCACACATCATGGTGGCGTCCCCCGAAGGAGTCGCCATGTCCTTACCGCCCCACTGGGACATTCACAGAGCTTGGCGCCTGTCCCATTCAGTGAGTGGGCATCAGTTTTGGAGAGAGGGATTAGGGAGCGTTACTTGGGTTCCCCAAACCCAGATCTGACCAAAATGTAACTAGAAAGTAAGTGATGGTTTTTTCTTAAGTGTCAAGACAGCGAGTCTAGATGGCCTGGAGAGCCTAGAGAATCTCAGGGCCATGACACCCTCCTGACCCACTCGGAGGGCACTTCTTCCAGAAGACTTGCTTTTGGGTGCATTAGAGAAAGAGAGCAGCCTAGGTTGTTCTCCCTGGGAATCCCCACTGGGCTCGACACACACTGGTGGGACTGTCCTTCAGTACCTGATGGTGTGGGGAGCAGGGGACTATCCCAGGTGCTCCCCTGCATTTGGGAAGTTGTTGCCAGGGGAGCATGGGCTCTGGGTACTGGGTGCCATGCCCTCCGGCACCCACAGGTGTGGGAGCTGGCTGGAATGCCTGGGGTCCAGCAGGCTGCGTCCGAATGCTTGTCTCTGGGGGACCACGCACTGGCTTGCTTGTGTTTACTTAGCAACTGTGTTATGTGTCTTCAGGAGGAGAGATCTGAGTAAATGTCCGCTTTTCCACCGTGTCCTTTCCATATCTGTTCACCCAGCTCAGCTGGGAGCTCTTTGAGGCCAAGGTTGGTGCTCAGAGTCCCGGCTGTAAGCACGCGGTGGGTGGTGAGGGGCCAGCCCGCAGGCCTCTCTCTGTGAGCAGCTCTGGCTCCTTCGCTGGTCCTTTCTGTCCTCTGCTATTTAAAACGTACCTCGTCTGCCTGGCGTTCTTCCTCCCCACAGGCCCTGGCACCGCCTGCTGGGCCCCAGCCTTGCCTGTCCCGCATCAACCCGGTGCTGGCCTTGGCCAGCGCTTATTGCTGGTTTGAATGGAACTGGGCAACAGATGTTTCGCTTTTGGATTCTCTGTCTTCTCTCCCCTGACCAGATCACAAGCTCTTACAGAAGCTTCAGTGTCTTTGGGTCTCTTAAGGTTTAGCCTCCAGTGAGGCAGCTGGCCCCCACACGCTTGATGGGAGGTCATTTGCTCAGCTCTCAGGAAACAGAACCCCCTGCTCTGGATGGGAGGGCTAGGTGGAGGGTACGGGAGAACCCTCTGGAGAGCTCTCTCCATCTGCACCTGTTCCAGTCTGTTTGCTCCCCAGCCCCTGCCCCAGGACTTAGCAGAAAGAAGGGAAGATGGTTGGATAAAGCTCTCCAGGGATTTGGTGAACAGCCCTACCCCCGGCTGAGAGCCCCTGTGCCGAACTGGGAAGGCATGGCTCCAGAGACTCCGGTCTGCTGGGGCTAGCAGCAGCCTCCGTGGAGATTTTGTAGCTCTAGGTTTCCTTTTATGACGGCTGCGTAGCAGGCCGGTTCCTTTCTTTCTATGGGACTCAGTTTCCCACTTTGTAAACTGAGCAGGTTGGACCAAGTGACCTCAGACTGGGACTGCTGATTGCTGGTTTTCTTTTTCTTTTCTTTTTTCTGATTCGCTACTTTAAAATCCCTTAGCCCGCCCCGTGCCTGTCGTGCTGCCCTGTGGGACTTGCTGCCCTCGCGCACCGGCCTCTGGGCCTGTCCTGTCCGGCGCTTACCCCTCAGGGCTCGTCGCCGCTTTCCCGAGGCAGCTGGGCCCGGAGCTCCCCCTTCAGCGCGCCGCCGCTGTCTGTCGGGACAGAGGTGAAGGGAAGGCGCTGGGCGGCAATGAGGGATGGAGACAAGATTTTCTACAACCCGAAGCTTCCAGCACATCCCGATTACTGTAAAGTGATAAACGGCCGAGCCTTGCCTGGCCTGTCAAGTGGGTGGAAGGCGGGGGGCAATCCAGGTTCTATGAGGAACACGGCGGTCTCTTCTTTTCCAGCCGTGGATGAGTGAATGCTGTCCCCCGAACAATGTGTTCATGTCCTAACTCTTGGAACGTGGGGATGGGTCCTTATTTGGGAAAACAGGCTCTTTGTAGCTATTGTCAGTGTGAGGCGAGATCCTACAGGAGGAGGATGGGCCCTAATCCAAGATGACTGGTATCCTTCTAAGACGCAGTGATGGAAAGTGCAGGGGAGAAGGCCACGGGACGACAGAGACAGGGGTGGTGCAGCTAGCAGCCAAGGAAGGCCGAGGACGCCGGCCGCGCCAGCAGCTGGAAGGGGCAAGGAAGGCCCTAGAGCCTTCGGAGGGAGCGCCGCCCTGCCGACACCAGGATTCCTGCCTTCCGGCCCCCCCGGAGCAAGGGGGGGGGGCGCTAACTGTCTTGTTATTTTAGCACCCCCCCCCGCCAGTGTGGGTACTCTGTCAACTCCTACCGGGCTTCCTCAGACTCCCGGGGTGCACCTCTGCTTTGTGAAGGGGTGGGTGTTGTTACGCTTCCTGGCCTCAACTCATTTGGCTAAGTACCAATGTTTTTCCACGGGAACCTGTGTCATATCTGATAGCAGGAGTGGAAAAGAGTCTCGACAGGCAGAGATTAGCAATCTGGGGGGAGGGCAACATCTCTCCATAAGGTGCCAGCCATCTGGACATGGCGTTTGGCTCCATGCAGACTTGCTCAGCCTTAGGGTTCAAGGTGGACTCACACATCAATGAAGCAAGGGCTCTTGGCTATTTGTCCGCTGTTTTCTGTTACTTGTCTTTTTGCCTTTTTTAGAAGTATGGACTCTGGTGGTTGGGAGGGAACTTAGAAGCCATTTTTTTCCTTTCTTGGCAGCTTCCCTGGAAAAGGCATCTGCTGGCGTTGCCAAGTTTGAAAGGGTGATGTGTGGAGTGGAGAAATAGAAACACAGGGGACGAAGATGTGGGTAGTCTCCGCTCTGTCCCTGTGATAGTCATCTGCAAGTTTTGGCCCAGGGCTGCCTCTGGGCCGCGGAGCACAGATGCCCCCCACGCAGGTGCTCAAAGACGCCCAGTGTGCGAAGGAACGGATAGGGGGATGACCCGGCGAGCAAGTGAATGACTGAAATAATGGGTTTTCTTTCCCCCGCTTTGGCTTAAAGAGGAAGTCTGTGATTACGACCCTTGTGCGCTGCTGGGGGCAAATTTAAAATGGTGCAGCCGCTTTGGAAAACAGTTTGGCAGCTCCTCAAAAAATTAAACCTAGCATTACCAAATGACCCGGCAATCCCACTTCTGGATGTAGACCCAAGAGGCCTGAAAGCAGGGACTCCAACAGAACACCCGTGTTCACAGCAGCATGATTCGCAGTAGCCAAAAGGTAGAAGCAACCCATGTGTCCCCTGACGGATGCGTGGATAAAGAAAATATGGTCTAGCCGTACGACGGAATGTTACTCAGCTTTAAAAAAGGCAGGAACTTCTGACACAGGCCACACCATGCATGAAGCTCAAGGACATGAAGCTGAGTGCCATCAGCCAGTTACAGACAGTTACTGTATGACTGCACTTCTGCGGGTTTCTTAGAGCAGTCAGACTCAGAGAGACAGAAAGGACGGCAGGCACCAGGGGCTGGGGGGCATGGGATGAAGAATTGGTGTTTAACGCAAACAGATTTCAGTTTGGGGAGATAAAAATGTTCTGGAGACAGATGGTGGGGATGACTGCACAGCACTGTGAAAGTACTTAATGTCATCGGACTGTTTGCTTAAAATTGGAGCGTGACTTTTATGTTGTATATATTTTGCCACAATAAAAAAAAAAAAAGAGGGAGTCTGCGTGCGTGCGTTTGGGTTGGTGGCCCCTGCCTTCACCTGCCTTTGAGGATGCCGGCCTGGGCCTTCAGGCGAGGCCCCTCCAGGTCCAGACAGTTCGGGGACCAGCATGCAAACCTCTGCTAGCAGAGCCCTTTCTTCCACAAGGATTGGACAGGTGGCTGCACACCAGGGGGGAGCCTGGCCATTCCTGGGGCTCTCAGCTTGGTTAAGTGGATGAAGACACCTCCTTTTCATTCCAGTTCATTCAGAATTCACCAACTAATAAATCACACATGTTACCCAGACTGGCACTGTACGAGCCTTTCAATTTTTTTTTTTTTAATACACAGAAATTTTGGCCTATTCTTTAAATTAGGAAATTCAACTACAGACTTTAAATTATTATGCATCTGGTCTTCCTCATTAAGATAATTTTTGTTCATCTTTATAACAGGCAGATAAAGATGTAAAACATATTTAATAACTGAACACAGTTGACCAAGCCATTCCGTATGATACGCTTTATAGAGGGGGCTTCCTCACAAGACAGGTCCCTCGGCCTGAAGACTGTACAGAAACCAGAGCGACAATCTGAGGTCACGGCACCCGTTTTCTGAGCCCCACACCCCGAGGGTTTTTGTTTAATCTATATTGACCATTTGTTCTACCAAGGTGTCTCTTAACAGAGAATGAAAAGAAGCCCATGAGCAGAGCATATGCAGCTTACCTTCTTCAATTTGAAAGATTTCCAATTTTATTTCTAGTTTAAGAACACACAGACCCTCAACAAATTGAGTTGCCCTTTTTGTTGTTTAAACAAGGACATTAGGGAACAATTTACAAGTGGGTAACATTCTCGATGTGCCCTTTGGAATAAAGGGATGGCTTTAAGTTATCTGTAGCTGGCATTTTAAGTGGGATTTTCTTGTCTAACTGGAATTGCTTTGCCCGAGATTTGACTACTCCTGCTTGGGGGTGACATGGCCTTCCTGTTGGCGGTAGGAACTGAGCATGTTTTGGATGTCCACCCAGATGCTCACAGAGGCAGGTGGGGTTGGACGAGTCCCCTGCCAGTGGGGGTAGCACAGGGGACACGACGGGTGAGCCGGCCTTGCTGCTCATCCACACCTGCATTTCCGTTCTGACCCGTGTCTCTCAGCTCCCAGCTGTCCCTCAGTGGCTCAGCCTCAGGCCCCAGTGATAAGCACATGTACGCGCTGCGGTCGGACTTCAACTGCCTCTCTGCAAAGCACGACAGACGAATTCAGAAGGTAAAGGAAACTCTGCTTTTTCTGCATTTCCCTCCCTGGTCAGCGTGCATTCAGGGGAAACTGAGGCTTGGCACAACGGGTGCCCATACGGCAAGGAGAGGTCCCCGAGGGAACCGTCTGGGGAGCCCAGGCCCAGCTCTCCCTCCTGCAGACAGGGTGCTCAGCCGGCACGGCGAAGCTGACCTCCTCAGCCTTCCGGGCTCGTGAGACCGAGCCACAGCTGTGACCGGAGTGACGGCGGCGAGGTGCCATTGCTCCCAGGGGCTTTGCTCCTGCGTCTGCTTCCCCCATGTCACCGTAGGTGGCTGCAGACACAAATCCATGCCTTTGTGGGTCATAGTTGTCCTTGAACGAGAAGCCCCGGGTCGGAAGAGTGCTTTGGCGGGTGCTGACTGAGAACTGGCCCCAGTCACTCGACAGACCCCTTGGCCCAACTTCTCGGTTGCGGTCACGTCAGCTCTTCTTGGGTGTGGAGGGTACCTCTTCCTCTGCCGCTTTCTGCCTGGCTCTTGGTGCTCTCCCCACCCCCACCCCACCTCCGGACCTGGCTCTCCTGGGGCTGCTCCCGGATTCTGGGTTTTCCCAAGGGGTCGGCGTGGCAGGGGGCGGCAGCGCCTCATGCTGTTGAAGTTGGGGCGTGGACAAAGAAAGCCCACCAGCCGGAATTCAGGACTTGGAGTTGAAACCGAAGGAAACTGAAAGCAAAACTCCCCTTTCCACCTACTGGAGGGGATCACTCTTATCAATACTTTGGTATTTTCCTTTTAAATAAAAAAATTCCATTGAAAGGTTGTTTCCCCGCCCCCCCCCCCATAGGCAGGGGTCTCAAAGTGCAAGAGTTCTAATTCTAACCGCTCCGGCCTCGTGTCTCTCTCCCCGACCTTCTTAGGAATCTCCACAGCAACATTCCCAGGAACTGTGCGGGAGGGAGGACTGGGATGGAGAACGGAGGCTGGGCAGGAGGTGGGGGGCAGCGGGGGGGGGTGGCAAGCAACCAAAAAGATATTCTTGCAGTCTCGTTCCCTGAAAAAAAAAAAAAACCTGCCACAATAAATAAGGAAATTTCAAAATGAAAACACCTGATAAGAGGAATGGAAATATCATGCTGATAAATAGCTCCTTATTCTTTAAATACGCATCTGGTCATATATGTACGTATATGTCTATACGCACACGCATATCTATGCACACACGCACACACATGCAGACCGCACATGTGTCCTGGGGGAGGGGCGCTTGGTGGTGCAGGTACATTTGCAGGCGGCTCCCAGCGGTGGGCTGTCCGGGTGGGGCATCCTTCCTGGCCCTGCAGAGCAACGGTCATCTTTTTTCTTTCTGTATGAACCTATCGGTCCAATTGCTCTCCGGCAGGTGCAGTGAAACGCCCAATCACCTGAAACCAGGCCCCCGCCCCACCGCAGAGCCCAAACAGTGAACATCTGGTGGAATTGTAGTGTTCATTAAAAAAATGCTTCGATAGAAAAAAGGGAAACACAGCTCTTCTCACGCTCTAGTTTCTCCCTCCTCCTCCTCAGTCCCAGATAAGAAGCCGTGGATGGAGTGGCTTCCTGCTAGTGCCGTGCGAGCGCCATCTTCAGCCGCCTTGGGCATGCTCTCCTTGCAGGCCTGTGCCGTCCGGCCCGAGTGCGCGTGTGTGCGGGCTGCGCATGCTGAGAGCCGTTCCCTTAGAGGGACGTCTCCACGCTGTGGAGTGGGCTCCCAGGTCTGGAAGAAAACACTGACGAGGTAGCTGACTTGGTGCCGTGCGTGGTCAGGTAGACACCACTGTCTATGGCGTTGTTGTTCTGGTTGGGGGACGGGGGTGGCGGGGCCCGCAGGCGCTCCTCGTTCTCATCCACGTCCGTGTCATCGATGAGCGGGATGTTGTGGGTGTAGTCATTGATCAGAAACTCGGGCGTTGCCATGAAGTTATGAATGGAGGTCTTGGATTCCGGTTTCTCCAGGCCTTCATAGAGCGAGCTACGGAATGCTTTCACCACCCGGATCTGGAGTGAGAGATGGAAGGACAGGGGCCCAAGGTGGGAGGAGGGAGGGAGGGAGGGAGGGAGAAAGGAGGGCAGGGAGGAGGAAGGGAAGGAAGGAAGCCAGGAAGGAAGGAAAGAAGGAAGGAAGGAGATAGTCAATGGCTGGCTGGTGCTGGCAAGTTCCACCCACATCAAACAGCACCAGGTTACTGCGTGACAAACGTTCATCCGCTGGAATGGAGCAACTGGGGCAGCTCTGCCTGGTTGCGCTAAGGGTTTTCAGGACTGGGCCTGTGTCTCATCAACTGGGCCCTCTGCCAAATCTGAATTCCAGTTGGAGAGAACAGAAAGATGATTCCAAAAAGGGAGAATGCTAGAGAGGGGACTCTCCGCTTCCTCTTACCACAAAGTCTGCATCACTTTCTGATCAGAGGAAGTCCCCAGCCTTTGGGCACATTGCCGGCCTTTCTCAAGTGGGTCCCCCTCCCTGGCTTCTCTATAGACCTTGTCTCTGTCCTGCCAGCTCTCGTGCCTGGAACCAGCACCTACCATGCCCAGACACACAAGGCCATCAGTCTTCCTGCTGCGAAGTCCAGGGGCGACTTTTGTGTCTCCGTCTTATTTGATTTCTCAGGGGCACCCAACACAGCTGAATGTCCCTCTTTCTGGAAACTCCTCCTGGCTTCCCTGACATCGCCACTGCCTGGCCCTCCCCCTCCCTGGCCCTGTCTCCTGCACTCCTCCTTCCCCTGGCCCATGGTGTCCCAGAGCCCTGGCCTGGCACTGGTCTTCCTCCTCTCTGTTCGTACGCCCGGGCCCACCTCCTAGCCCTGACCGCCACCTTGGGGCTCATCTGGCTATAATCGGGGGCCTGAGAGCTGGCCACTCTCCCATCTGGAGGCATCCAACACTGAAAATGGCCCCACTTTTGATTTGCACCCAGTAAGCCTGTCCTGCTTGGATGCCCTGCTCCAACGCGATGGTTCCTCTCGCCTCCTGCAGGCCCCCTGGCCCGCAGCTCGGTGCCTCTGATGGGTTGGCATTTCCCTTCACAGACCCTTCTGCCCTCGTGTTTCCTGCCATCACAGGCATTTTGCAATCTGGTGCCCCTTGCCCCTCCAGCCTTTCTCACCCTGCACTCTCCTCCTCCTCTTCAGTTTCCAAGCCAGATGACTTCTTTTGGTCCGTGGAATCTGCCATATCCTTCCTCTACTCAGGCTTTTCTAGATCTTGTTCCCCGGCTGCTCCACTGGCATTGGCAGACCTCAGGGAAGAGCTTCCCACAGCGCCCTGATCCCCGGCTATGGTGGCCCTTGGCCCCAGCCAAGCTCAGGCACCCTGTGACCCCCATACCTCCTGCAGGATCTTGCTCCCAGAACTAGCCCCTTGGTCTCTTTGAACCCACCTTCACTTACACGAGTGCTCAAATGTCATCAGGTTTATGAGCCACAGAGCTCCTGCCTCACTTTGTTCCCTCCCTGGTTCCCTACCACCCGGGCTCCCTCTTGGTTCTAGAAGCTCGAGTCCGTGGGAAGGCCTCTGCTGGGCCCCACATGAGCCAGCTGGCCTTGTGCTGAGATGGGGAAGTCAGCTCTTCCCTATGTGAGTGGGTGGACATAGCATCAGTTCTAAAGTCATTTCCAGGTCAAAGCTTCTAGGACTTGGTTTTCTTGGTTTAGACTAGGTGTTGGCAAACTGTGGCCCAAGGGCTAACACTGGCCCTCAGCTTGGCTTTATAAATAAAGTGTTATTGCCACACAGCCACGCCCATTCACTTCTGCTTCGTCTATGCCTGTCCTCAAGGTGCCAGGGCAGAGTTGGGTAGTTGTGACAGAGACCTGGCCTGCAAAGCTAAAAATAATTACTCTAAGGTCCTTTATAGGAGAAGTTTGCTGTCCCCTAGTTTAGACCACGAAACACACTGCTGACAATGAGTCCTTTCCGACCCTCCAGGGTCTGGAACCCCGGGACTGTCAGTGCGTGGCCAGGCACAGTGCTCCTAAATCAGTTTGAGCCAGGTGAACCTCACAGCCAGTCGAGTGCAAAAACAGTCAGCCAAAGAGCTCCGTAAAATTGGAATTTCCTAACTCCAAGTCTTAAATCTGGCTAGGATTTTCTCCGATTTTGGTGGAAGTCACGTCTTCTGGATTACAGATGGCCAACTATTTGCCCTCAGTTCCTTAAGTCCCCCAGACTGGCTTCTGAGAAAGGGGTAACCCAGAAATTGAGGGGAGAATCATTTGATATTTTTCATGAAAAGAAATAGAAATCACTTTTTGCAGTCATTGAAGATGTGGCCTCATTCTTTGGGCCTTCTCTGGTTCCAGAATTGTGGGGGAGCTACTGAGACAGTTGTTGCGGCTGTGTGGCGGTGGTGAGGTATCTGCTCCAGCTGTCGGCTACACCCCTCAAGTCACAGAAAGGAAAGTAAGCTGGACCCTGCTGCCCTTGACCCTAGGCGCCTTTGTGGTAAGTTTGGCAGCAATGATCTGATGACCCTGGCTACACCCTTTCCTCTAGCTGAGCTGGTCCCCTCATTTGGACCTGGATCACATGATCAGGTCAGACCCCTGCTGAAACCCATCTTCAGGTCTCCCTGTGCCTGGCTGAACTCCAAAGTCTTTGCCCAAAAAGGGCAGCCAGCCCTTCTTCTCCAGCTTCTGCAGCTCCGGAACGTTCCTTCAGGGTGCTTGCTCCTCCCAAGTATAATCAGACTTACTTCAATGACTGTCTTGTCACTGGTCTTGTTTGCTGCCTATCGACAGAGTGTGGCACAGAGTAGTTGCTCAATCACCAACGGGGGCCGGGGCGGGGGCAGGGCTTCTCACGCAGACGTGCGATTTTGGGCTCTAAGCTTGGCTTGTGTCATCCCAAGTCTCTTCCAGGTCCCAATTCCCCGCATTCAAACCTTGGGCTGTTAACAAATTGCTTGGTATTGGTGTTATGATGGGGTGTTTTCAGGCCACCCGACACTGAAGAGAACAGCGACTTCCTGGGACACGGGTTTGGTGAGAACTGGCAAAGGTTTCGAGAAGAGAGGCCTGCCCCAGAGAGCCGAGCTCAAGCACGGGGGCTTCAGAACATCCCCACGGCAGAGTTCAGTGTGTCCCAGCAGAAGAGTGACCAAGGCTGAGCGGAAACAGTGCCCTTCTCCAACGCTCTGCCCTGCTGCCTCCTCAAGCTCCTCCCCCAACCTGGGGCCATCCCTCAGGTCACCTCTCCATCTCTGCCACTCCCCAAGGGACCTTGCCACCCTCGAGGCTGTCAGTGTCACCGAAAGCCCACAGACTCCAGGGACACCATACAAAGGAGATATCTATCTATCTATCTATCTATCTATCTATCTATCTATCTATCTACACACACACCCCCACCCCCACCCCCACCTATGTCTGCAGCCAGCATGCGTTCCTTCCCAGCATGCACTGCTGCTCCCTCACCTCCCCTTGGATGGCTGAAGGGTCTATCAAACGGAAGGAGGCTGAGGGTCAGCCCTGGTCTTCCGGTCCTAGTGCAGGGCTCTGGCCAAACCACAGAGGCGCCTCGATCCCCGACCCCAGTGCCCTGCATCAGCATGTGCCCCAGCCCCTAATTCCCCAACCTCTTCTCAGCGGAGCCCTCTCTACCTCCACGGCTGCTGCCATATCTGCCAGGGCCCTGGAGGCCCCTGGGACTCAGACGCTGACTGCCGGGTCTCTTGACCCTCCCTGGCTCCCGGCTCTGTGGCTGACATCCCTCGCAGCCCTCCTCGTCTCTGACTATTGAATCAGGCCCGGCCCTCGCCAACCTAGCTGGTGGGGATGCCAAACATTCTAGCAGCTGAAGGAGCTGCCCTGGGTCCCCTCTGTGCAGTGTGGAAACTCACCGAACTGAACCCCTGCCCCCCAAAAGTCCATTTTACTGTGGCATAACTTAAAAGTAAAAGAAAGACATGAAAAGCACTTTCCGCAGGTTGTAGCCAAGGTGTCTGGGAAGGCCGAGGAGGATCAGGTCAGGCTGGGGCCGGAGGGCTCTCCCATAGCTTCCTGTCTCGCCCCAGGTGAGGCCAGCTGTGCCCCCCATTTCCTGATGTCCGAGAGGCAGCCCTGCTTGTTCCCGCACTGCCTGGGTGCCCCACCCTGGCCTCTGCACCCACTCAAGGATGTTGCCCCCCCTCCCTTGCCTAGCCTACTCATTTGTCTTGTCTTACAAAAGACTCTCTCTTGGGGCCACAGTCCCCTCTAGCTGCTGCCAACGGCCGGTTCTTTCCTGACCCCCCTGCTCCCCAGGGACCTCCCCAGCTGGGCACTCACTGCTCCCCGCGCCACACCCCCGCTTCCTGGCTGTAGACAGGTCTCCAGGTTCTCTGTCCTCTCACCATCCGCTCACATCCGGGGGCCCCAGGGCTCAGCTTTCGACCTTTTCTCTTCTTCATCTACACCCACACATTTCCTAGCTGCTCTTATCTGCCGTGGTCCTAAATACCATCTGTCTGCTGACGAGTCTAACACCTCTATCTCCAGACTCGGGGCTCTGCCTGCCACTTTAACTTCACCCCCACCCTACGCCTCCTCCCCGGTCTCACAGCTGCTGCCCTTTACCTCTGCCGTCCAGTCTCTGCAGGGCAGCCCAAGCGGTCCTTTCAAACAAAAGCCAGAGCATGTCACAGCCTCCACTGGTCTAAACCCTTCAATAGCTGCCTCTCCTGCGAAGTCAGGGCCCGCCTCAGGCCATTTTCTTTCTCAAACTTCTTCACTGTCTCCAGCCTCAACTTTCTGGCTTTTCCTGAATACTGGCACACTCCTGCCTCAGGGCCTTTGCACAAGCTGTTCCCTCTGCTGGGAAGGCTCCTCCCCAGTGAGCCTCATGGCCCCCCCGCCACCTTTTCTGTTGACAGTCTCAGCCCCCCGCCCCCTCCACCGTCTCCCTCAGCAACCCTGTGCCTCTTCTTCATTTTCTTCCCAGCATGGCTCACCTTCAATTCACCCCACCCCCGCCATTATTCTCTCCTCCGTCTCCTTTCCATAGGCCCCCGAAGACGG